GCCCACCCCTTTGATCTCTGTACCGTTCTGTCGTGCCCCTGACGGGTGGCTCTCAGTCATGATTGGCTCTGGTGCATCATGGGACCCTGGGATTGTTTGCATATTAATAGCTGGTTCAGCCTGACGGAGTTGCGGAGCTGGGTAATTACCCCGACAAGCGCTATGGCAGGGTAACCGATTACAAAAGCCCCCCAGAGACTGGCAGCTGCCCGCCCCCACGCTTCTCAGAGGCTCCTCTGGAGAGCACTGTAGCTCGGGAGAAGTACGGGACAGAGACTGCACAACACTGGCTTACAGATCAACAAATCGCAGACTGTGCGCTTGACCCACCCCCTTCATCCAATCAGAGCGCGAAATACACCATTAGAAGAACAAACACGAGGACCAAAATCAGCCAAATTCTAAACAAAAGTACACAAGCGTGAGGCTGGTCACCATGGCCTGAAACACACATGCAGGAGCGACCGGTACCTTGAGGGGGCGCCACGCTCAGGCTGGGTTCCCCGTTGAGCCAGAGCTGCATGGGTTTGCAGTGCTCGAAGCTCTGTGGGGGGGGCTTGCTCCAGGATTTGGGCCGGCTCAGTAAGTCGCTAGCACTGCCCTGGGAGAAACCCGGCATCTGGAGGGGGGGGGCACACAGGGGAGGGGGGGTCCGGTTACACACACAGCACGGAGAGGATGCGAACCACAGAGTGCCCCACCTCGCCCTTGTGGGGGGGGGTAGGTACCTCCTTGTGGTCTTTGTGGCCATGGCTCTCGTCTGCCGCCGAGGAAGGTGTGCTGTGGCGGTCAGGAATCAACGTGCTCCGCCACTGATCCCGCCACAGTGCCCCCACCCTGTCCTCAGGGGGGGCCGGCTCACCACTCTCCTTCCGGGTGCTGGCGGGGTGCAGGTCCAGGTGGGGGGAAGGCGTGGACGAGACAGGCAGCTTCCTCAGGGACAGAGCCAGGGGGGAGCAGGCAGAGATGGCGGCCAGGGAGGGGGTGGCCCCACGCAGCCGGGGGGCGGGGAGCGGGCGCTCAGTTAGGGAGGGAGTGCCGCCTTTCAGGAGGGGCTCTGCTGCGGCCCGTTGGGCTTCCATCTCCCGGCGGGCCTGCTCCAGTATGGAGCGGATGGCGTCGTCAGAGCTGCTGCAGCTGCCGGCCCCCCTGGGCACCTGGAGGGATGCTGAGGGCTCCGCTGTGAGGGAGGGGGAACCCACAGTTACAGAAAGCTCCACTAGGGGGCACCACAGTATCAAGTACAAATGGCAGAGGGGAGACAGAGTCACATACCGGCCTTCTGCACCTGCAGCTCCCGCTTAGCCTGCTCCAGGATGGACTTGATGGCCTCGTCAGAGCCGCTCTCAGGGTTGCGGATCCGTGTGGTGATGCTGCCTGGGGGGAGGGGGGGGGGGGTGGCAGGCCAGTGAGCAAACAGGGTGAATTCCACACGAGAACTGAACGCCATTGCGGAGTGATATCAGCGTCTTGTCTCCAGAACTACACCTCGCCCCCCCCCAAAACAAAGTCACAAGAGTCATCAGTCACTCAAACTCCCATGCCCCCCCTCCAATACGGCTTGACATTCTCAAAAAAACACATCCATCACCGCAAAAAGAAGATTGCAATAGAAAATAGCTTTTCTATTGCAATGACTGTTACTGGATACTGAAAACATGGAACAGAAAGCACAAGCCACTCATCTCAGCAAATTGCCCCTACCCCTAGATTTTAAGGTGGGGGGGTAGTCAGTGAGGTAGACGCAGTGACCAGAGAGTAATGGGTAATGAATTATGAAAACATCAGGCAGTTCAGAAGTCAACTGGACAGAAGGAGAGCAGACTTTGGTCAGCACATCACAGAAGCGGCACTGCTTTCCTCAAAGCTCACTGCAAGTCCCAAAGGGAGACCCCTAGCAGCCGGGGAACCCCAACACACCGAAGGTACCAAAAATAAGTACGGGCCAGAAAAAAGGGGATCTAGAGGGTGACGGAGGGGGCACAGACTAACTACTCAACCACGGACTCTCCGTAAGACACGCCCCGTCACTACAAGCCCCGCCCTTCCATTACCCACAATGCACCGACCTGACCGCGGGGTGCCTTCAGAGCCGGCTCTCCGCTTCGGAACCTCCTGAAACACCTTGTTCAGGTTCTGCCCGGGGTTCTCTGTTGGAAAACAAGCGGCGACAGAGAAGAGAAGAGTCAGGCGGCGAGGCTGGGAATGCTATAAAGTACCGCCGGCAGCTGACAAGCTGCAGTTTGCACGACGTGCCTATAGGAGGCACTCACGGATATCAGCCGCTTAAATCTGCCTGGGTCAGGACACCCACGTTGGTCGGGAGTTATGTAAAGGCCCACAGCTCAAAGGACGCCTTAAACCGTGTAGGACGCAGGACAATGAGGCGGCATGACGATATTCGCTGGTCGAGCTCCCGAGGAACGGGCGCATGGCACAGGAAGCCTAAGCTGGCTCCCCTCGCCCTGCCAGGACTCTGGCTGAGGTGACAGCCAGTGTCAACATGGAGAGGACCGGGCCACGGGTGGGCACGCGTTACTGAAGCAGCATAGTGCCCCGTATCTGACGGAGATCTCTGTGTGGCTAACATCCCCTGAATTACACGCTCTGCGTGTCCCGGGTCCCGTCGAGGCCGGTGACGGGCAAATTAGGACGCCATGAAGTGGGTCTGAACGAGGTCGTGAACGATAAACCAGGATACACACAGCATCTGAAACCCGATGATAGAACCCAAACACCCGGCAGACTTGGGGTTCCCGGCAGTCACACGGAACCTCCCACAAGTGATGGCTCAATGGCACCAGGTTAGAGACTCCTCAGTCCCATTTCTATGACAACGGCGTGACAGGCAACCAACTTGGTACCTTTCTGCCTCTGGATGGAGGATCTGCGATCGTGACCATCAGAGCGACCCCCCAGCACCAAACCAGCTCACAGTGTTACCCTTAAGGTTATGATACATAGGGCAACTTTTGATGAATGTTGCCGGGCAACTGCAAACCAGGACAGATAAAGGGCAACTAAGCTGGATCTGCATGATCAAAAAAGCCAATCAAAGTTTTGTAAACAGAAATTTGTGGCCCATTATGAGTGCCCGGTAACATTACTCAAAAAGTTGCCCTGTGTATTGCCACCCTTACAGTCCCGTCTCGAAGACTCGAGGTCACAGGAACAATATTCGGAGGTGTGACTCACCTCGCTGGCGGCCCTGGATGCTCCTCAGTGCCAGAATGTTCTGCTCGTCGGAAAGGAACTGCTTCATCTTGTGGAAGGGCTCCTTGCCTCGGATGGTAAGCTTGTTCCAGGGCTTGGGTCGGGCCAGGATCTCGCTGACGGAGCCCTGAGACAGGCCCAGCACATAGTGGCCGAAGACGCGCTGGCCGATGTTGTGCTTGATCAGCTGCTCCTTGACCTGCCGTGCGATCTCCGCCGTGTCCATGTCCTCACCCTCCGAGGCGCTGCCTGTGCCCTCCGAGCGGCTGGGAGAAGGTGCCGCGCCGCTGGGGTCAGGACTGCCGGCCGGCTCCTGCCGTGCCTGTGGGGGCAGGGGGCTGGCAGACAGCGGGCTGTGGCCGATGTAGGCGCCGGGGGCGAAGAGCACGGCGCCACCGGGGGAGTCCTGCAGTGCCTTGGAGTAGAAGCTCTGCATCAGCTGTCTCTGCAGCAGTGAGCTCAGGGGCACTTTGCCCGCCAGTGGGAATGCTGCCGTTGCCCCGGCAACTGCTGGCCCCAGGAAGTCCTGCCCGACACCCACGGGGGAGAATGGGAGGGTGCCATTGGTGGAGGGCATGGCCTCGGGGGCAGAACGAGGGAGTAGCTGAGAGGGAGGAGGGGGGGAGCACGCGCCAGCCGCCGCGCGAGGGGGCTGCTGACTCTCCGCTGGGGCCTCTGTCCCTTTCCGTCCGGCTGGCCCTACGAGAAAGGTCAAACACAATGCATTATGGGGGAGTCAACAAAGAAGGGGTCCACAAATGGGAGGTGAACTAGGTTTTTAAGGTGGACTGAGGTCAGAGCCCAGACCGGAGCTCTGAGGCCCAAACGGGCCAGCCTCCCCTAAGACACGCCCATGCATTGGTGATTTGTACCTTTCTAGTAGGACGCAGCCTAGAAGGAACAAAAAATGAGAGTACATACAGTACAGCAGCCCCTCACTGGGTCAGAGTATGGGCGGGGGCAGTCTTTAGTCCTGGGGGGCGGCTGCCCCCCGTGCTTGTGGTCCAAGGTGCCGGAGTCGTCCTGCATGCGGGGGCTGTGGCCCAGGGTCCAATATCCACTCAGTGACGCTGAGTGACTTGCGGAGCCTCCGTGGCTCCCAAGGGGTAATGTGTGTGGGGGGGGGGGGGGGGGGCGGCTCAGGATATGAAACGACTTTGGATTTAAAAAAAAAAAAACAAAAAAAACACACCATCCATGGGGTGAGTGGTGATCATCCAGTTGCGTCCTCAGATCAGCATGTCCCCCGGGGGGGGGGGGCAGCATGAATGAGGTGGGCCAAGTGCATGACAGTCCAGCTGCAGACATTCTGACCATGTTTACATGCCGTGCTCCCACTCGCGGTATCCTACTTCCACTGAGATGAAGATGCCACAACTTGAAGGCACTATTGAAGGCACTAGGACACCCCGAGGACACACGCAGACCATCACACACGCAGACCACCACACAGGCCTCATTAGCATATCACACAAATCGCACCACCAGCACAGACTGACCTCACTAACCGCGCCCGCACACCACAGACCCCTCATCATGTCCTGGGTGCACAGACCTCCCTACATGACCAGACTGTTTACATGCAGCCAGAAGGCTTTGGACCAACCCCAATTCTCCAGACATCAAGTTGATTGTGAGACACCCACACACACCAACCCTGCCAGGACAACTCAAGAGCAGGTTACGCTACAAACCCCCCCCCCCAAAAAACACACACACACACACACACACACACAAATGTTAGTGTAACAGGTGGTCATGTGACCCCATCCCCCCCCCTCACTCACCGCTGAGCTCGCTGTTGGCAATGCGCAGAGCTGCGCTCTCTGACTGCAGACTGCGGTTCTTCTCCAGCAGAAGCACCTCCAGGGGCTTTGTGGAGTCCTTTAGCAAGTGGGGCGCACATAACATCATCAAGTACCCCACTGACAAACAGCCCATCCCCCACGCCATCTATGGCCACAGGACGTTATTCAGCAGACGGCCATAAACCACACCCCCTACCCCGGCCTCATACCTGCACCGTCGCTCCCTCTGATGGCCCAAACTCCATAGATTTCAGAATACTGCAATGGACAAGGGGACAGCGTGAGCGAGAGGGGACGTCGCTGGGTACAGGGACTGCGAGCGGGGGACAGGGACTGCGAGCGGGGGACAGGGACTGCGAGCGGGGGACGTTGCGGGGAACAGGGACTGCGAGCGGGGGACGTCGCGGGGAACAGGGACTGCGAGCGGTGGACAGGGACTGCGAGCGGGGGACAGGGACTGCGAGCGGGGGACAGGGACTGCGAGCGGGGGACGTCGCGGGGGACAGGGACTGCGAGCGGGGGACGTCGCGGGGAACAGGGACTGCGAGCGGGGGACAGCATGAGTAAGGATGTCATGGGGCAGCCACCGCTATGGGGCCGCAGAGCCGCCTCTGACCTTTAAAAGCATTCAGAATTCTGGGTAAAAGCATGTGATGTAACTAGAGCCAAAAGGCAAAGAGTAGCCTGATTACGTCCAAAAATGCTATGACCGTGTTGCTCTGATTTAGGATAAGCGACCAGGGTCCGGACACCGCGACCAGCTAAACGGGAACACCTCCTGGGAGGCGGCCCGACACAGCAGCAGGAAGCCCCGTTCGGAAAGACAGACACCAGACAGCAAGTAGGGGGCGACGCGGAGCAACTCCCAGTCACACACCTCAGCTCCTTCTTGACCTCCTCATAGTCTGCCTGCTCCTGAAGCTTGTTCTCCAGGTCCTGGCGAGAGGAGAGAAGGTGCGGAACGTCACCGAAAGGTTGTTTGGCTTGTGCCCGTCTCACCCTCTCCGAACGATCCGGCGCCGCACCTTCAGGGTGCTGTTCTTGGCGCTCAGCTGCTGCTCCAGCTGTGAGATCTGATTGGATGACGTCTCGCGCAGTTTGCTCAGGCTGGCCTGCAGCCGCTGCACGTCCTCCACCAGCTGAAGCACCTCCCGCTCCTTGGCGCCCAGTTCCACCTCCAGGTTGGAGCGGGACAGCACCTCCACACTGGGCTCCTGTACACGGACAGACGCAGGGGGGTTACAGCCAAGCGGGGCCGGTCTTCATGCTCATGGAGGCTCAGCACAATGAGGCCTGACCAGCACCCCCTGCAGGCAGCCTACCGCATCAGCGGCCTTCGGGGCCTGGGCGGCCTGTTGCAGGGACTTGTTAGCGGACATTAGCTGCTCTCGCAGGGCAGTGGCCTCTCTCTCGGCTGCCTCCACTCTCTGGAAAACAAGGCATGTGGGACTCAACTTCGCTATTTGAATAAAATCTAAGTATTTACATAAATCAACAGCAAAAATCCAAGTTCAACTGTTAGAAGATTTATGGATTAGTGGAGGCTTCTATTAGTCATCTAACATCGGTTTACTCATTTTTGTTTTGCCAAATGACCCTGTCGCTTAACATAGAATGCAGGGATCTGCCACTAGGGGCAGACTTGCTGGGGATTTATTCGGCCGTCCAGAACAGTTGAAACTAGCCAGCAAAAAACTAAACAGTGTTTCCGCTGTTAACATTTCTCTGTGGCAGCCAGCCACATCAAAATCTTTGCCTCCACCAACCAACCAATCAATCATGTAATCCAGGCCTTGTGACTCGCTCGGGAAGCCCCCCCCCCCGCCCCTCGCATGCATGCATTAAGGAATTAGGCTGGTTCTTACAAAGCTCTAATAAAATATGCTTACTTAGGTATTTTCCAAGGACACGACAAAAAACCGACAAGGTCTCTCCTGAATTATACCCCGTTCACACAGAGACCCGCTAATGACTGGATTAGCGTTACTTATGAAAATACCTTTAAAATAACGTATGCTGTGGTATCACGTCTGGATGGCATGAAAAATTAGATGCCATCCAAGCCTAGTTAGACACAGCCTAAACTGAAGGCTCTATTCGCATATTAGGTTTGCATTTAGGTTTTAAGCTATTTTAGGGCTTTGCCAAAGTCAATCGTTTGAGATTTATATTTCACACCACAATTTAGACGACTTTTGTTGTTGCAGCTGGCATTCCGGTCCTGCGGGTAGCTAAATAACGTGTCACTTAAGATCATAGTCAGCTATCATTACCGGTATCATCTCTCAGTTGCAGAGTGTCTTAGGCTACCACATGTACATGGGCTGGGCCTGTAAGATAACTGTATAATTAATACTACAATTTTGAATGATTACCTTTATTCAAAGGTTTTTGAAGTGCCTTTTTAAAAGGTTTTCCCAGCCCTAGTGCGTGTGCGCACGCATCTACAGTGCTGGATTTGCCCTGGCTTACAGAAAACCAAAAGGGGACACAGCAAACGGATCACTGTCATGTCAATATCAACCAGGGACGGTCTGAACAGGACAATGCAGTTGCTGGTGGTGAGATCCGACTGACCTAATTTGGAGCAGAGATGAAAGCGCATGGAGACGTGGAGCCATCTCCTGGCTGTCACGTCAGGAACCCCCCAGCTGAGCTCCCGGTGGCTGGCTGACACCTCGATGACAGCCCCCCCCCCCCCCCAACCTGGCCGTGAAGATCAACTCGGGGCCTTGCATGATCTGACGCAGAGAGCCGACGTGAGACGAGTGCACCAGCGAGCCGCCAAAGTGTGAGCACGCTCGAGCGGACAGGAACAGGCACGCCCCGAGCTGGCACTGTCAGCCTATCGGAGGACACTGCACATGAGTGGCAGGTCACGTGACCATTCACAGCTCAGTACTCCCTAAAAATAACATCTAGGGACCCCAGGTGGTTAGCAGCACCAAGGATCAAAAAAGGACATGGAGTCGCACCCACTTCCGCCCAGCAGACACTGGACTCCCAGTTAGAGCTGTGTCCTGGTGACTGAAGCCCCCACAATGTCCAGCCTCCCCAACTGAGCCATGCGGTGGAAAGTGAAATACCAGTTAGATTTTGCCTCGAACGTTTCCCACAATTCTCTGCTCTCCCCAGTGCTGCTCAGACTATCAAACAACGAAAAGGTCAGGAGAGCAGAGTACTGTTGTGTTCATAATTACTCATGTCCATGTCTGTCTGCGCTTGTGGGGATTTAATCATAATCGCCTCCCATGTCGCGCGTTGCAGCAGAGCGGGAAGCTGGAGCGGGATTCCAAACTGCCCTTTTCATGCGACTGTCTACAGTCTGCAAGAATATTGCAAGAATCATGGTTGGCTCCTCATAACAATGTAAGGTGGGGGNCCTGTTGGGGGGGGGGGGGCTGTTAATGGAACGGAGTCACACACCCTCACACACAAACATCCTGGAAGATGCAAGTAAAAAAGAAAACAGCAGCGGTGGCACTAAGAGGCTTAACGGCAACCTGACTCAGAGGGAGGCTGCAGCCTGGCATTCAGGGAATTAAAAAGGCTGTAAGATGCTTCATGAAGCAAACGAATCGCTGGGGAAGAGGTACAGCCCAATTGGAGGGCTTGGGGGGGGGGGTAGTGCCAGCCTCTAGGGGACATTACCGGCACGCCAAGGTCACCGCCGGTTCCTGTTCTGGCCCTTCTGCCACTGTTCCGAGGTATTTTGATTGCCCCCCTGCGCTATGTTTTCTGCCACCTGCGGGGGGCGGGGGGGGGGGGGGGTTGTCACTAACTACTCATTGTGTTGGAGGTCTGCATTCTTGTAGGCAACTCAGCCAATGGCTCCAGTCTGCAGGGTAAGAACATCTGGCCGTTACAGGAAATCAGGTCAGAAAACCAGTGTTGGTCACGCCCAGATCCAGCAGGTCCCCGAAGGTCCCGGGTACGAGAGACTAGGCTAAATGAGATGGAAGACTGCAGTGATCACACTATCAGAGGGGGTGTGAAACAGCCATTCACAGAACGGCTTCCAGGCCTGGTGTCTGAGAACACCTGAAACAACTAAAATTAAAAATAACCCAGCGCCTGATTACAGGTGCATTAATTATATTTTAATTATGTGAATTGCACTCTCTAAAGCGGTAACATTTAAGGCTTCTGTGATTGCAATGCTGTAAGTGGGACTGCGTTTCCCAGCATCCTCTGTGACAGAAACATGGCGGTGAAGCTGCCCGTGTGAGATGTCACATGATGCCAGGAGCGGTACGACGGAATGAGGAGGGAAAGCCCTGTTGCTGGACATAAGCCCTCAGCGCACGCATACCAGGCAGGCTGTGATCCCATTCCGGGCCAAACGTTGTATGCCCACAGCCTGACCATTTCATGAGAACCGGCCCCGGGGATTCAAGTGCATTTTGGAATTAAAACCATGTAATCTGGGGTTCGTTCTCAGGAACTCGTGGGGTCTGGCTGCAGTAGAGTGAGAAATGGCTCCAAGAGAACATGACCACCACAGGGATTTGGAGACGCATTCATGACGACATTTTCGTTCTCAAGTTCACATCCTAAAAGTCAGTCCAGCCCCTCTCTGCTTTCTGGTGGAGCCACTTGTAAAATGAGCCCACTGCACATACTCATCCCGACCACCAGGGGAGCCCTGACGAGGTCACACAAGCAGAGGGGGTCAGGGTCATTCTCAGAGGCTGTGATTGATACAGTGTGTAACTTTAATGGGCACAGAAAGCGACTGAGGGATGTGGGAAACGGCTAAAGCAGCACAGAGGTAAACGAGCAGGGAATCCCAGGCACCTCGAGAAACCGGTGGGGAATCCCCAGAGATGAAGCATCACCATGGAGACCAGGCTGCGCCTTTAACGGGCATCCATACCCCACCCTACAGCTGACAAGCCTGAGGAGACCCCAGAGTGGGGCATTCACCACCACCCAGTAGGGGTTGAGCTGGGGGGGGGGTGAAACAAATCTGCCCCTTATTCTTGGGGGGCTGTGCTCTCCCACACAGTTTAGCCAATATATTTAACACGAGGATGGGGGGGAAGAGGATGAAGATAAGAAAGAAGAGAGATGGCCAGAGCGAGGAGGAGCACGCTGGAGGAAACAGCACCTAGGCCTCAGCGAAGGGGGGAGACCCAGCAACCGGTAGTCAGGGACCCCGACCCTCACCTCGGGTTCAAATGAAGCTCTGTGCTTTAATCTCACCTCACATCCACTTAACATTTTACACGAGAGACGATCCCCACACACTTGGCACGGAGGAGCATCTAGTGAGGGAATGTGAGAGCGTGTGTGGGAGGGGAGGCGACAGCCACACAGTCATGAGCAGAGGACAGAAATGTTGGGGGGGGGCAGTAGTAGGGGTGTTTCTGTGTTGCTATAATTAGTCCTGCGAGACTGAACAAGGAGCCATTGAGGAGACACAAAGCGCTCTGTTGGACTGTGTGTGTGTGTGTGTGCGTGTGTGCGTCTTCCTGCCAGAACCCAGGAGTGCTCATTAATGACGAGCCTTAACACAATCCTGCCCGCTTCAGTGAACTGCCTGCCCTCGTCCCCAAGCAGGATCGGGGGGGGGGGGGGGGCCTCAGCACTTACTTGGCTGTGGTCTCCTCGTCATACTTGGTCTTCAGGTCGAAAAGCTCCGTCTGAGTTGATTCAAGTGCTGGAAAAGGAAAGTGTGGGTTCTGAGCTCGCAGCTTGGGGGGGCTGATTGGACGGATGGACAGACAGACGGACGCTGACGCCGTTTATCGCGGCCTGCAGGAGCCCTTGGCTCACATCACAGTCGCTCACATCACAGTCGCTCACATCACAGTCGCTCACATCACAGTCGCTCACATCACAGTCGCTCACATCACAGTCGCTCACATCCCGGGGCAGAGCCAGAGCTGCGGCCTGCCTCTCTCAGAGTTCCATACCTGTCTGTAGGGCCTGGGCCTTGTGATTGGCCTCCTCTAGTCGTGAGGCCATGGAGCACTGGCTCTCCTGCAGCTTCCTGTCGAGAGGGGGGAAGAGCTCAGCAGGCGCCCCTCGCAGGCCGGGCCAGGTAGTGCGGGCGGGCGGATAGGACGCCGACTCACCTCTCCTTCTCGGCATAGTCGCTGTGCAGTTTGAGCTCCGCCTCCTGCACCAGGCTCTCGGTCTGGCTCTTCAGGCTCTGCTCGTACTCACGGATCTTCTCCTTAAGCGCCTTGATCGTGACCTCTGACCACAGGAGGCGCAACACGTTACTCACAGTGAAGAACGATAGGACCCTCACAGCTCTCTTCAAGAAGAGCAGACATCCCACAGACAGTAATGGCCGCCACTCACGGCACACACACATGCCGGTGACCCAGGTTCAGCCCATTTTGTCTTGATGGTTCCGATTCAGCCTAGCAAGGTGCAATTCAGTGTGTGACAGATAGGGGGCAGCCCTACTTATCCCCCCCCCAGCCATGATTTAAGCTACAGTGTTTCAGCCCTGACACACAATCAATAGGCTGCCATTCCCACATGACGCTCTCAGCCCCTTAACCGCTCCGCTGCACTGTAAACATTTAGGCTGCGGAAGATCAATGGCCACAGCCTGTAGGGATTTTTGAGGGGGCCACGGGCTTTCCAGAGTCTGGCTGGGGGCTGTCAGCACGTCTTTCCACAGCACAGCCAGCAGGAGGCGACAGAGAAAAGGGGAAGCTGCCTCACCCTGGTTCTTGACCTCAGCGAACTCCTTATTGTACTCCTCCAGCGTCTCACGCAGTTTCTGGTTCTCCGTCTCCACATCGTGCATCCTCTGCACCTTCAGCTGCAGCTGCTGGCCGGCCTCCAGGGCTGGCGTGGGGTCTGAAGCGAGGGCGCCCACCGCGTCACACACACATACACACCACAACGACGCCAGACAGAGCCCCCCAGGTATTACACCATGCAGTTAACACACACCTTGTCTTTCCTGTTCATTTTTTCACTTACAGGGCAGGCAACCCTGTGCATCCATCTGTGCTGAGCACACTCAACCATCAGCCCCCCCGCCCTGCTACCCACGGCGCCTCCCTGTGGCCCCGTCATCAGCGCTCGATGTCAGATGCCTAATTACACCCAATTCCAATTGATTTTCTTTAACAAGACAGCAGGGTTAATTATGCAATCATACCATTACATTATTACATTACCCCCCTGCCCCCAAAGGGACCGTGAGTGAGGGATGGGGGGAGAGGCACAGGGTAGGAGAGCAACAGTGACAGACAGAGAGAAAAGGTGGGAAGAGAGGAGCAGACGGATGTATGAGGGGAGAATAGGGAGCGAGTACCTGGGACATCGATCAGCCTCTTGTAGACATTGAGGAAGGCGGCTTCAGCATCCTTACTCCGCTTACTCAGGGCGTCGATCTGGAGGAAGAGCAGGGGGCGTCAGGGGGTGTGTCGATCCGGAGGGAGAGCGCGGTCGGGGCGTCAGGGGGTGTGTCAATCCGGAGGGAGAGCGCGGTCGGGGCGTCAGGGGGTGTGTCGATCCGGAGGGAGAGCGCGGTCGGGGCGTCAGGGGGTGTGTCGATCCGGAGGGANATCCGGAGGGAGAGCGCGGTCGGGGCGTCAGGGGGTGTGTCGATCCGGAGGGAGAGCGCGGTCGGGGCGTCAGGGGGTGTGTCGATCCGGAGGGAGAGCGCGGTCGGGGCGTCAGGGGGTGTGTCGATCCGGAGGTGTGGGGGATGTGATCTCACACTATCAACTCAACAGTTTTGGGAGGGGGCTTTAGGTTTATAGTTACTGAATCCAAGAGAAAATTGCAGAGCTGATTGTAAGTGGCTGTAGTAAATAAAATGGTGTCTCCCGGGAGCTTCTGACAGGGTTTCTTTCTCCAATGCGGCTGGCGCGCACACACACACACACACACACACACACACACACACACACACACACACACACACACGCGCACACACACACATGGCCACGGCCACAAACACACGCACACACACACGGCCACAAACACACGCACACACACACGGCCACAAACACACGCACACACAAACAGCCACAAACACACGCACACACAAACGGCCACAAACACACGCCCACACAGACATGCACAGGCACGCCAACACACACAGGTGCACACAGCCCATCATCATACAATCATTCAAAGTGCACCACATCCAACAGTATAAGCTGCCTGGACAGGAAAGAACTCTGTTAGACATGAGATCTGATCTCTGATCAGGAGTCATAAGTCATCTGGAAAAAAGAACGCGTCATGTGAGATACGATTAATGTGGCATCTAAACGGCCGAGTTTGTTACAGGACGTGGGCGTCACAGAGCGACTGATAGTGAGCCGATACGAGTCACAGATAGCGGTCACTCGGCCCACCAGATGCCAGCAGAGGGGAAAGGACATTTACAGGAACCAGAGAGGGCTATAATCAGGCGAACGCGACCCTGCCGCTAACGCCAACTAACTGCTAGCTGAGTTCCGGAGCCCGGCAGCAGCAAACGCCGCCACACGACAAAGGCTTCTGAACCTACAGGCCCTGATAACACAGAAAAGGGAAAATGGCTTCAAAGCAGCAGGCAAACTGACCAATTACAGTGGTAAGGTGAGCAAAACCGGCTGGGTGTGAGACCAGGCACAGAAGCTCAGTTGAACCCGTGTTCACACACAAATTAGGAGAGGTTCCTCAGTCACATGGTTAAGGCCCAAAAGTGCAGCACTTCCCCCGAATGTTATAGGGACTTTGCTCAGACCTGTACGCACAGTAAACAAACCACGCTTAATGCCTCATTTAGGGGAGATTTACTGCACAGGTCAACAGCCACTGGAAACAGGCGATATGTACGAGTCACTCTGCACTCCTGCGGGACAGAAAACTAAATCTTTGCAGATGTTCTTGCAGAAAAACATCTGGGCAAGAGCAGGCAGAGCCAAGTTCACCACTCTAGAAGGAGCTTTCCAGCGCTGAGCTGGGCCTGTCGAGCCAAGGCAGCAACACGGATTCCAAGAAGCGGCTGTTGAACATGCAGGAGCAGCACAGTGCTACCGGTGCACAGAGCCTTGGACCCCGGCTCACCCTGCACCTCTTCCATCACCATGGAAGTGATGTTAAAGGGCGTTCTGTTGCCATCGGATACGAGCAGAGAGCACGCACGCATGTTATCTATGGGGTGAGTGGTGATGGTCAGTCATACAGCTCCATTTGTTGCTGACTAACAAGAAAGAGCGATGATCCTTTTTTCAGAGAAAGCCCAGAACAGGATGAGTGCACATTCATTTTCTTTTTTAGGTCCAACCGATTTTCCAGCAAACGATTCTTGTGTCCATTCTCTATGGGGGGGGGGGGGGGGACTGGATAGAGCAGCAACATACACGCTGGTGACAAAAGGCATATCCTTCCCATGACCTCCGTCTTGAAATCAAGCAAGGCTGTTAGGAAGCTGTCAGATATTCTGCTTATTTCACTTTACAAAGACTTTGCACAGACAGCAGTATGGTTGGGCATGTACACACACACACACACACAAATGCTCCTTCCTGACTCCTACCCCCGCGGTCTGTGAAGGGCATCACCAGAGAGTCGCAACACTCGGCAGTATCAGGATGGCACCCCGAGCACACAAAGGCCACCTGACCCCACAGGAAGTGCAACCAGCACCATGTGACACAGCAAAAAGTGGGCAGAATCCAAACCCGATCGGCACCCCAACAACCCTTCATCCAAGTGGAGAGACTCGACTCACCTCGGCCTGGAAGCTCTTCAGCAAAGGAGCCACCTGTTTTCGCAGGTCCTGTGAGGGACAGAGAGGAAGGGAGAGGGCATTAGGAGTGACCAGGCGCACAGAGAGACAGCGCTTACAACACGGGGGCCTCCTGAGAGCAAAGGTGAGGGCATTAGGAGTCACCAGGCACAGAGAGAGACAGCGCTTACAACACGGGGGCCTCCTGAGAGCAAAGGTGAGGGCATTAGGAGTCACCAGGCACAGAGAGAGACAGCGCTTACAACACGGGGGCCTCCTGAGAGCAAAGGTGAGGGTATTAGGAGTCACCAGGCACTGAGAGAGACAGCGCTTACAACACGGGCACCTCCTGAGAGGAAGGGAGAGGGCATTAGGAGTCACCAGGCAGAGAGAGAGACAGCGCTTACAACANGGAGAGGGCATTAGGAGTCACCAGGCAGAGAGAGAGACAGCGCTTACAACACGGGCACCTCCTGAGAGGAAGGGAGAGGGCATTAGGAGTCACCAAGCAGAGAGAGAGACAGCGCTTACAACATGGGGGTCTCCTGAGAGGAAGGGAGAGGGCATTAGGAGCCACCAGGCAGAGAGAGAGACAGCGCTTACAACATGGGGGTCTCCTGAGAGGAAGGGAGAGGGCATTAGGAGTCACCAGGCAGAGAGAGAGACAACGCTTACAACACGGGGGCCTCCTGACACACACAGATTAGTAGCAAAAGCAGCTGCCCAGCAGAATGCTGAGGGGGACACCAGCCAGTCAGGCAGCCACCTTAACGTGAGGAGCAAATAAATCAGCATTCATTACACAGTGGAAGAGAAACACTGCAAGACTAAAGGGCCCCCCAAGAGCAGGAAGATCGTCTCTGCCCCATTACCAAGGGCGTTTTTCCTCAGGTAAATACGGCACTTCTACAGTATCGTGTTTCGGGGAAACCTCTGTTTCTGACGGGATGAGATTACCCCCAAAAAACAGGTCTCCCACTCTAATTACCTAGTGGAGCTCTTTCAGGGACGAGGCCCTTAAGTAACCTGGCAACACAGAGGCGCTATTGTGCCTGGAAAGCTGCTTCTTAGGCTCCCATAAACTACAGGCACTCCATCCCAAACCAGCTCACCACGCCAGCCGAAGCCCATCATCCAAAAGGAATCCCAGCAGGCAACATACTGCTCAAAATCTGTCGCTTTAAGCGTGACACCACCTGCAGGCCCTTATAATCCTTGCACTAAATGAGCAGATGTAAACCTTCCATGGCAACAGTTGGAACGACAGGACACTGAGGGGCCAGCCATAGCACAGTCAAGATCCCCCCTCCCCCCCCATTAACTCAGGGGCTATAAAACCGCCCGACAGTCACTTCGTCATGGCAGAGAAACGGTCCTCAGTAACTGGTTTAAGAACGATATCCAACCTGGCAGACAGAACGGTCAGCGCTCATCTGCAAATGAGATCACGCCCACCAGACAAACTGCCAGCGACAGGAAAAACCGGCACATAAACCACGGCGGGGAGTGAGCAAACATATAAATACACAGATGTAAGGCGGGGGGGGGGGGGCAGACAAGACAAGAAGGCCAAGGAAACGAAAACCCAGTGTGGACTAGCAGCGACAGTTCAGTCATCAAGTCTGCTGAAAGACGGACTTGCCAGGGAGGGACACAGAGAGAGACCGCCAGCTCCTGCTCAGCCTCAGACGAATGGGATTCCGAGGGAGCAAACAAATGGGGTCAGTGTCAGGGGGCCTCAAGGCATGAAGGGCACGTCGGTGGGTGACGACAGAAGAGAGTCAAAGGCCACCTGGGCACCACAGCACTGTATTCGCGTGTGTGTGTGTGTTTGGGGGGGGGAGGGGATTTGACATCTAACACACGTTGTGACGTCAGCGCTAATGTGTTTCCCGTGACAAAGGAGACACAGCAGCTAAGCGGAGTTCTGCTGCAGCCAGGTTCAGGGCACGGAACACAGAACCAAAGCCATTAATGCAGAAAAGCAGATCTGCCTGGCAGCCGGATACAGAGAGAGTATTTATAGGGCCGGGCCGGCTTCGGGACAAAGCCAGCGGGAGCAGGAAGGGCCTGTCAGTGAGCCGGTGAGGCGGCTGGGGCTCGTGACACCAGCTCAGAGCCGAGCACGAATCTGGCAGCCTGACAGGCGGCAGGGGATGGTGCAGGGTGGGAGGAGCAGGGCGTACACGCCTGACATGTGATACACAGGACAGGGCTTAAGGAAACAGGACTTATACGCCTGGAGCACAACACACAGAGGACAGGGCGTAGGGGAACAGGACACACATGCTTGGCACACGACACACAGAGGACAGGGCGTAGGGGAACAGGACACACATGCTTGGCACACGACACACAGAGGACATGGCACAGTGGAACAGGACACGCATGCTTGGCACACGACACACAGATGACAGGGTGTAAGGAACAGGACATACATGCTTGGCACACGACACACAAAGGACAGGGCGTAAGGGAACAGGACACACATGATTGGCACACGATACACAGAGGACAGGGCGTAGGGGAACAGGACACACATGCCTGGCACATGACACACAGAGGACAGNGGGAACAGGACACACATGATTGGCACACGATACACAGAGGACAGGGCGTAGGGGAACAGGACACACATGCCTGGCACATGACACACAGAGGACAGGGAAATGGGACTCACATGCTTGGCACACGACACACAGAGGACAGGGCGTAGGGGAACAGGGCATAGGGGAACAGGACACACATGCTTGGCACACGACACACAGAGGACAGGGGAATGGGACACACGCCTAGCGGGCTACACACACAGGACACTGTGTAAGGGAACGGGACATACACGGCTGACACGGGACACACAGAGGACAGGGCGTAAGAGAACAGAAAGCACATGGCAGACAAGCGACACGGACAGGACAGGACAGGACACACACAGAAGACATGTAACAGAGACGACACACACACACACACACACACACACACATATACACCAATAGGGGAGACAAACTCCAACATGAGGGATTGCTTCAAGCCACAAGCAGAATGATAATGGCAGGTGGGGGCAGTGAGTACAACCCGAAGGTGGGGGAAATGGGCCGTCTCGCAATCCTCATTAAAAGGGGGAACAAATGGAGCAAGCACATTAGCGCCACTCGGTAGGGTCACGCATGGCTGCATTCGCAGACTGTGACTCATCGCCACAGCGACCTCGGAGGAAGTCGGGGGAGAGGGGGATGATGCCCCCCGCCAGTCTGTGGCCCTCACCTCACACACAGACCCCAGCCTGAGGGAGGAGATGGTACGTCCATCCAGCCCAGCGAGCATCACCGAGGTCAACACACCTGAACAGATGACCGCAAAGACAAAAGCTCGTTCTATCTCTCCGGAGGCGTCGACCTGGCGCATCGGGTGCGAACACGTCATTACAAAAAGCCCAGAATTATCCTCAGCGACTGGAGGTGTCTGAGTCCACATCGGCTGATTGTTCCAGAAAAGCCGACACGATTCTCAATAATGCTTAAAGTACTAAAATATTAAACACAACGCTGGTGTGGTGTTACGACAGGACGGGACCGACGTGGTGGTGCACACCACCACGGCCCAGAATTCAGTGGGGCATTAGCACTTAGGTGAGAGCTACATTATCTCCCAGGCCTTCACTGATTCATATTCATAGCAACACCGCTAACATAATTTACTCTGCTCTCATTGAGTTGGAACGCAGCAGGTACTAAATCAGACAGCATACAAAGTTGGAGATGGAATGGGGGGGGGTCCACCTAAATGCGTCAGAAAGGGTGTTAAAAAGGCTTGCTGCTCCAGGGCACTGTGAGAAAAACATTCCTTGACAAATGGCCGTCAGCCCGTGTGGGACATACTGCTTGTAAACACACAGAATGGAGACGGCAAACAGCTGTAATGCAGGCTTGCCTCACCGGGGGGGGGAAGCTCCCTCACAAAGGGGATCGCAGAGGAATCGCAGCTGGCTGATCTGGTTACGGGTGGGGTGAGGATGCCGACTGGCTGTTAACCATAAAGAGACAGGAAGCCAGCCAATGACACCCTCGCGTCAATGAAGGCTCCTGCCTAAAGGGGGCAGCAACGGTCCCTTTGTTAGCAGGCTCTATTTTGTGGCAACACAAACCAGGGCATCGGGCATGCAGCAAGTCAACCTGCCGAGCCATAGGAAACATGGAGGCGGACGAGAGCCTAGCCACACCTCTGGGGGCAGTAAAGCTGCTGTGTCCATTGGTGGTCACATGACAGCCAGGCAAGGCCTGCATTTAGCTGCCGCCCTGCACCTGCCGGAGATGATGAATGTCGCTGAATAAAACAGGAAGCACTGGAGCGGCAGCGACGGCGGCAGCATGCTCCACTGAGTCAGTGGGAAGAGGCCCAATGTGTACAGGGAAATGGGAAACAGCCAAGCATACGGCAGAATGGGAATCGGGGGGAGCAATGCAGAGAGGGGGGGGGGGCTATATACACAGACGTTAAATGCCCACAAGAACAGGAGTGTCTCCTGGAGACAGGACATCTGGGGTAGCTAAATGAACAAGTGCCATAATTCCCAGGCCAGTGAGCTATGCTAGGCTACGCTAAGCTACACTAGGCTACGCTAAGCTACACTAGGCTACGCTAGGCTATGCTGCCCTCATTCTCAGGGGCACGGTGACCTGGCGGCATGACCCACAGGAGGACCACTCATCCGGAACCTCCTTGATGTTTTAGGTGTTCGACACCAGGCGAAGGCATTCAGGCTGTGCCCCCACCTCAGCCCACCCCCCCACGCTCCTCCCAGAATCCCCAGGAACAAAGCCCACCGGCCGAACACCCCCATTCCTCTGGTAACGGCTTATTAAGCTCCAACATAAATTGCAAGCCCTTGACTTCTTAAAAGAACAAGAGGCGTGATTTATGAGCGGTTTGGAAACCACGGGGTCGCATCCCCCATTAATCCACCGCTTTGAGAAATGGCGAGGAATTCAGGAGGACAGAGCGGGATGCACAGAGTTAAGGGACCTCCACGGCCGACGGCCTCTTAAAGGAGAAGCGGCTGGATTCTGGCAAACCTTCAACAAACAAAGGTCTCCTGGAAAGAGGGAACAGAGCAGCATGACGTATGGCTCGCGAAAACCACTGAGTGAAACGTCGCACCAGAGATTAATTACTAAACCTTACATTTCAGTGGTGTGAACATCACCAACTGGCTACAGAACAGTCCAGAAGCTGGCGGAGATCACAGAGGCACAGAATCACACATATTTAAAAAGCGCGAGCCCAGGGGTCATCCCGACTGGCAGTTCCCTCTCTGACGGGAGCAATTCAGTGCGATTTAAGCCCTGATGTGCACGGCTCTCCGAACATGCCGACAGCGTCGATCCGCGCGTTTCCTCTCACTCTATCAAGCCCTGCCCACATTCCTGAGAGTCGCAGGTCACTGACGGGATCGCGAAACGGGGCCCAGCGCAGCCTGCTTGACAAACCGCAGCTGAAAACGAGGGCAGTAACGCAGCGCTAGGCCGGGAGGCCGGACCTCACCGCGCAGCTAGTTTGCTAAGGACACAAACGCCCTTCAGCCATGAAATGCAAAGCACATCAGAATCCAGAAATATTCTTTCAAGAGCATGCAAGGGGGGAGGGGGGGGGTCTGCAGAGAGCTGCTGACGACGCTTTTTATTAATGGCTTTAAATAACTGTGTGTAAACAAAGCACAAATAGTCTGAGCAGAGCTGCCCGCCGTCAGCAAAACCAAGTTCCAGCAAAAAAAATGACTGTAATGAAAGGAAAGTTTGCCCAAAGTGGGTCAGCTAGCAGGGCCCAGGAGCCTCCCGGCCCCCAGGGGGCGCTCACCTCCGGAGTGTTCTTCTTGAACTCCCGACTCTGGTCAATGAGCTTCTTCCTGGACTGCTCGCTCTCATCCTGTCTGTTGGCCAGCACCGTCGCCGTGGCATCCAGCTCCCTCTGTGTGTGTGTGGGGAGAGACAGTGGTTTCATCACATGCTGACTGGCATACAGGTAGATGCAGCAGATCCATCATTCAGCTGGACAATAATTCAGGCGCCACTGGCCTGTACCCCACAGAGCGTCAGGATGCACAGCTACAGCTCACAGCAGTTGGACACACCCAGGCACGCTGCACACGCCCCCCCCCCGCCCCCCCACCGAGACCACCCCTGCTAAATCCACCCTGCTCCTGCCCCCTAATGGCTGCGTAATCTGCTAATAGGAGCGTTTTGCTGGCTCAGGCCGCCGAGCTTGTCTCCGTTAATTTGCAAGCAAGTAAATGCTGATGAGACAGATTACCGGGCCCCCCCCCCCCGGGGGGGCCTGCTGCCAGATGCTATCAGCTGCACGTGAGCCACGGCAACGGTGGGGTTGGGGGCGCCGGCCGAAAGCGGAGCACGTGGGCGAGCTGTGAGAAATAACGGCCCCCCGGGGACAGGATTCGTGGGCAGCCGTGCCAGACCGTCAAAACGAGTCAGTGTCAAAATGAGGCCAAATTCAGTCAGGGTGGGGGGGGCGTGCAGGGATAAACCGGCTGCCAAGCTGAGAGGGGGAGGGCGGCGGAAGGGGCTGGTGACACAGTGGTGTGACATCATAGCCCCCAGCCTGTCCAATCGTCCTGTTTGAGGGTTTGGCTTTATTGACCAATGCTCCCCCCTCCCCAAGCCAGGCTGTTTCCTGAGCAGTGTACCTCAATATCTATGGGGTCATTAAACACCCCCCCCCCAACCCACCCAACAAGACATCAGTTCTTCTACAGTTTTCTGTTTAAAAAAAAATATATGTAAATGGTAAATGGACTGTATTTATATAGCGCTTTTCTACTCCTACGAGTACTCAAAGCGCTTTACAATACATGCCTCACATTCACCATCCACACACACATTCATACACCGGTGGCAAAGGCTGCCATGCAAGACGCCGACCTGCACACCGGGAGCAATTTGGGGTTCAGTGTCTTGCTCAAGGACACTTTGATGGGGTCAGGAGGAACCAGGGCTCGAACCTGCAACGAACCAGGATGCAGGGAGCATTACAGTCAGACTGCGTAATAGCTCACCATGCAGTTTGGGCCCTGGCCCTATCAGCCACGTGTGGGCGTGGGGGGGCATAACTCCGGCCCTGTACTGAGGCCCCATCAGGCAGGCGCAGGAGAGAGAGAGAGACTGCGCGGGCCATAACAGACCTCAGGTCCTCTGATAATCATAAGTGATCACCGACAGTCCATCTCTACCTCTGTCCAGGTCAGACGGGGGGGGGGGGGGGGGGGTTGGCTTTCAGACTGCACCAGGCTCACAGCCAGCCAGGGGAAGCCAGCAAAACCCATCAATGGATGAAGTGCTGTGACATGCTGGTCAGGATTCCAGGCCGGCAGGGAGCCCTCAGGGCTCGGAGAGAGTGGAGTGCACGGGCGCATTCGCCGGACCATGGCAGCCCGGCCCGTGTTTGGGCTCTGACACAAGGCTCTCATGTGTGATCAGCTCTTCCTGTTTCTCTCTAGGGGGCACTATACATGCTCCAATGTCACATATTCACCCCCCTCACAGGAAGGGGAGATGGCACCCTCGCCCACCCAGAGGTGCACGTGCGGAAGCGAGAGCTCTGCTCTGAGGCCCACTGCGTTTCCTTTGCCAGCCTACGCTCGAATCCGCATAACGGTCGGCCGCCCGCCCCAGGGCTCAGCACGTGCGGTCACGCCCCCGTCTTCCCGCGGCCTCGCCGATCCTCCCACGGCCGTCGCCGTACACCAGACGAAAACCAACACCCCCCCCCCGTCCCCTGGGGAGTGCAAGCTGCGGTGGTTAGATGCGTATCTGTCGAAACACCGAGCTCGACACTCCGAATGCAGGCCAGGGTTCAGCACGCCGCCAGGTCGTACCGCCCCACCCCACCCCCGCCCCCACCGTGCCCTTTCTGACGTCAACGGCGCGAAGCTCCGCTGCTCCTGAAAGGGCCAGAGCTGCGACATCTTACAGGCTTTACTTCTCCTGTTTTTATCTACTGAGGCTGTTACGAGTGTCACAGCGAGACCAAACAAAGGAGATACAGTATGATGCAAATGGCAGCCGGTTAGTCCACAGCTCACCAATGTTTTGGGTTGGTATCTACTGGGGTGCTGACAGACAGACTGGAAAAACATGGAATCAGACACCAAACCATCCATTCTGGTCATCAGTACTCAGCTATTGTGCATTTCAGTACAGAATTAAGTCACTCATATGAGCACCTTCCTGCCAAAGTACCGTTGGGGGAAATAATTCACATTTTTGCCATGCAAAGGAGACCTGACGTTTCAGGGATTGCTAATTTTGAATTCCACGTTTCACAGGATAACGCAGAGCCGGCAGTGAGGGCCTCAGAGGGCCGGGGGCCATGCCTTTATTACACGAGGCGTGTGTGTGGATTTACAGGCTGGGATACCAGACGGTGGAGGTGCAGACAGACTGGGAGCCCAGAACGCACTCTCGACAGGGACGCCACAAAAAACTGCTCAGCTGCTACCGGGAAAAGCAGCTGGCTGGCTTTGTCCCGCGGCAGACCCGGCGAGGACAGGCAGCCGTTAGAGAGACATGCTAAGGCAGAGGGGGCGATCTTTAAACCCCGGAGCCTGTGCGACATCTGCCAAACACCACATGAGAGGGGGAACAAGATAGGCTTCTTTGCCAAGGCTAAGCAAGCGTATAAATACCCTTAAAACAATTTATGAGGCAAAGAACGAAAAAAAGCCTATGTTTTTTTTTTTTTTTTTTTTTTAAAACACTCGCATGAGACCTCCTGTCCACAAGCGATCCTGAAAAACCGGTCTGAGCACTTAAACCGGAACCAGCCGGCTCATTCGCACCGCCAGCCTGGATTAAATCGCTGAAAGCTTCTGCATGCCGTTATCCCGGCTGAGCGGGCCACGCGAGCCGCCTCGCCTGCTGGTCACGCTCTTCCTCAGAAACAGGGGTCCTTGCCCGGCTCCTCAGGCGAGCGAGAGGGACGCCCAAGGGGGGAGCCCCACCTCCACTGACACCATGAGGCTGTGCGTCTGACTGGAATTCAAAGTGAGGAAAAAAAGAAAAGAAAAAAAACGTGGGCTTATACCGGTTTGAGGAAGAGGGGGAAGGGGTTAACCATCAAACAGAAAGCTGGGAGCATGATAGGGGGTGCTACTCACCCAGAACGCTCACCCATTTCTCAGAAGGGGACGAGCCTACAGTGTGTTAAACAGAGAGAGAGAGAGAGAGACATACATGGCGCACTTTTTGGATGGGTGCCTGTAGCGTAAAACGACAGCACAACTGGGGGTCTTATTTCAGCAAGACTGGCTCAATGTGTGAAAAGCATCAGAGACAGAGAGAAACCACCAAACCAGATGAGCGGGCCAATTCTGGCAGCCCCTCCTTCGCAGCTAAATGCTATACCTCACTGTCATGCGCCACAGCATTCACACCATGACTGAAAACTCCCACTGACGATACCCCATGGCCACACACACTCGTTCAGAGTACCCCCAAGCTTAGGAGCAACTAGGAGCCCCAGGCGGGAACCTCTGTTGGACCACTCAAAACACACGGATGGATTTCCAGTGAAGTATGGGAAGATAAGCTGTGCTCTGCATAAACATATCCAGGCAAGAATGAAGATAAAACAAAGTAAAAAAATAGCAGAGGTGGCTAAGGTGCATTTATGTGCAGTTTAGAGGCCTGAGCTGTTTGAAAAACAGAATGCAGCCAGGCTGGACTGAGCTCACCAGCAGGGGGCGCCACAGTCAACCACCTCAGAAAGGCTTTTCAGCCAGGGGGGGCGGGGGGTGGGCTGTGGAAGGGAGACCCAGGGCTGCCCTCCCTGCGCTGAACAACATGTCAGCTCGTGAACTTCTCGCACTTCTTCAGATACATAATCATTTTCCACTCACTGACTGCATCTGGATTCCATTCCCAGGACTCATGAAAGTTTCCAGGTCACTAATAATAACAATTTCAGGCAAAGCGCGGAGTTCAGCCAGAGTGTAGCTCCGCGCCAGACCTTGAGTTATAGATCCAGCGGCGCACGGGCATCCCCAGGACTCCCGCGGGACACCGTCCGGGTCGGCTTCCACACGCATTTGTCACACAACCATTTAACTTTTACTGCTGGGGAGTGTATCAAGGTCTAATAAAGGATCTCCAGAGCTGCCCCCCACCCCCCACCATCTACGGACGGCCCCACACACGGCACCCCAGACGTTAATCAGAGGTTGACTCTTGCGATGGGTTTATGGGGGGGCAGAACTGCAGCTGTGAGGCCTGGAAATCATGGATGCCCCAGCGGAGGGCGCCTGGACTCCCGACGACGGGGACGAGCTGGACCCTCGGGAGCAGAGTCAGCGCGACACTGCGTTCCAGGACAGCCTACGCCAACACCCCCCAGGAGCAAGCGTGAAGGAGCTCCATTAGAACACAGACACACTCAATAACAGACACCGGACTCAACACGGAGCCAAAGATTCACAGACATCAGCACGGAACAAACGCTCCAAACTGGGCTTAGGGCAAAATATACACTAATTCTCAGGTCCAAAACCACACAGACAATGCATCGTCCAGCATGGTGGGCCAACGACTGTCAACAGCACTTGACCTAGTTAGACTGGGTAAAATTCTTCAGTAGTAACTGGTATCACAGGCTGAGTACATTTACAATGCAAAAATAACTATAAAATATTTGATTGTAAATCATCTTTCTTTACAGTCTGCTATGCAACCAAACTTCGTAAGATGTCGGGGGAGGTTGGCAGGACAATAACGAAGGAAAGAAACTGAATCTTTATTTGGTCAGACAATTTGATGATGTGTTAATTTATTCCACTGTTAATGCAATACAGACTCGGGAACATATCGGCTCGAGGTCTTTATACAGGAAATGACATTCCCAGGAGACATAGTCCCAAAGCCCATGGCTCCACAAGCAGCCCCCCCCCACCCCAGGCAGAC